GTCTCTTTATTTAACAACTTTTATAATATACGCTATAAATCACAGAGAATCACAAGCTCAATATCTTTGCTCTATGTGACAACTGCAAAACACACACAATTTACGACTCACCATCACTACTGTTCGGTTGACTCAATTATCTATCTCTTCAATCCCACTGGCTTTTCTTGCCAGACTTATATACTAACAAAGGCGGCATTTTGAATGCACTCGGGTCTACCCGATCATTCGATAAATTTCACACACGCTACCAGCACCAAATGCGCCAGCAGTGTCACGTGACTTCTGCTGTCGTAACACTGCACCTTCCTTAGTATTGTTTGTACTGAACAATAGCCACTTACATTTAACAAGTAGATACTTAACAATAACTTAATGTACAGAATTTACAAACAAAATTAAAATACAACAAAGTCTCTTAATTTTACAGGACATTTCTTCTTTCATATTGGTCTCTGTCTCATTGGCTTCTGCTTCACATGGGGTTCATCTGCTCCATCAGGAAATGTCCCATTATCAGTAGCAGTCACATCAGTAGTAGTAACTTCATTAACGACTTCACTGTTGTCCATCTCAAAACCGGGTAGAGTTTCTTATTCAACAGTGGCTTTTTCAGGTGACACATCTTCAGCAGCGTCATGTGTTCTGTTGTTCATTTCGTTCCAACTGAAATGTCCTGGACCATGATAACGGCAAAGCCTGTTGGCATGCACCACCTTTGGCTTACCTCGTCGACCACATTTTATTAGGAAAGTCACATCTGAGAGATGATCTACTATGTCACATGGGCCTTCCCATGGAGAAGATAACTTAGGAGACTTCCCTTTGGTCTTCCTGGGATTATACAACCACACCTTGTCTCCTTGTACAAAGCTGACTTCAGTAGATCTCTTATCATAACATAGCTTCATGGAATCAGCAGACGTTTTCAAGTTTGAATGCACATTCATCATCAATCCTTTCAGATAACACTTTCGCGAAATCTGGCACATTTTCAGGCAACTCTTCGTAAGGTGGGCGTCCTGTTATCAGGTCCACTGGCAACCAAAGTTCC